TGTTTATAATGCTAGATAATCATTTACATATTTACATAGAATTGCAAAGACTTTACAACTTACTAGAAAACAGATATGTAAGGCACCACCATCAAGCAAGAAAAATTGAAATAAAATAATGAAGACAATGGACTAATACATCTATTTGGACTTTCTTTTTGAAAATGACATATGTATCTGTGCATTAAGACATTTTTGAAGACAATTTTATGTTTGCAGTTCTTATGAAGAAATGTCTTTAGTTACATATAATGCGTAGATCCCTATTACATATAAAGTAGTTATGGCATGCATGCGTATGAAAATTCTTAAAGTATGTGTTAGTAATAAGAAAATTGTGTATCTAATGAGTTGCGTTACATATTTCTGGACTTTAACTACGGTTACACATTTCAATTGAAAACTCTACATTCCTCACAAACAAGTGTAATACAATTTCGTGAAGTTGAATGCACTGTCAGAAATGCGTAAAGTTTTTTTTACATAAATAAACATCACTTATAGTTGAACATATGTACATCTATGTATAAAAATAATAATGATCCAGTCACAACTTAACAAAAGGTGACCTTAATTCGTCTAATTTGTAGCTTATGTATGTATAATCCAATTGCGTCTAAATTTGGTAAGATACGCAGTATTAATATTAACAAGTTAATCATGAACTCAGCCACAGAGGGCAAAAAAGAGAGGTTTCTGCTTCCACTAATTACTTTTATTAGTACTGCATTTCATAATAGATACATCTTTTATAGGTATTTACTATTACTTGGGTAAAAAAATAATTAAAAAATTAATCAATACATCAATGACTCTATTACAAAATTAAATATGCAAGTAATGAAGCATCAAAACTGCACTTAATAGGTAAAGTTGTAAGGACATTAATTTTTAAACCTAAAGTTGAACATATATATGTAACTACATAGACAATTCAAGGATAGTTCAAACCTGAGTCTAATAACAAATTAACAATTACCGTCTTTGGCAAATTAACTATTTTGTTTATTGTTGTAAAATTCCAACTTCTTTACGCTTTTCGTATTCATTTCTATCATATCTTTCTTGCACATTTCCTTAAGAACCTAGGAAATTAATATTCTTTCTCGAAAGCAAGATGCCTGGGAAGCAAATGTACAACGCTTTTGCCCTTTACACTGAGACTTTCCAAAATCTCGAGCACATTTCCGTAGAGTGGGATCGCAGGAAAAAGTGTTTTCGATACATCCCCCTCTCGTCTGGGAAGATTTGGCTGTGGGTGTGGAACATTTTCTTTATCATTGGCTTCGTAAACTTTGGCCTTTCCTTCTTAGGTCTGCTTCGTTGCATAATTTTTGAAAAACTTGTCCTCTCCAATTTCAACATCATCACCGTTGTTACCGAAATGATTCTCATTATTTTTGGAATTGGGATCACGTTGGCGTTGATCTTTTACGGAAGGGATTTCGTTGACGGATGGAATCGCTTTGTCGCTGCGGAAATGCAAAGTAACATTTTCTTAAGAAGAATTATAAAATTCTGTAATAATTACAAGCCTCATGGTTTTAAAAAAATAGACAAGGACAAGAAAAATAACGCCGCTGCTAAAACTTCCGACCTTCCTGGATTAGCGAGTCAACATTTCGTTAAAATGTTTGCAATCTATCCCTTCATTCTCATACCTTCGTCAATGGTGCTCAATCTCGACATTTCATACTTTTTCATAAATGAATTTGAAACACACCTTCCCATCAAGTATCAGACATTATTCGTTGTGATTTCCTCGGTATTCATCCGACTCCCGATTGTGTCCATTGGAATAATTGAAATTTGTAGGTTGTTTGCACTTTTGATTATTTTGTTGACAAGCTGCCTCCAGTCCTGTAACAATCTGTTGAGCAGATATCTCAATGAGTTGGTTGGAGACAGGAACTGGCATCAATTATTTGAGTGGAAGGAGTCAAAATTGATTCCAGAGAATCGCAAATTCTTGCAAGCAATACTGAAATGCATGTCGGAGTACCAGCAACACGTCATTATTCAAAGTTCGATTGCCCCCCTTCAAGAGTGTTGTACAAGCATCCTTCTTGCAGGTAAGTATGTGGATTTGCAGTATTTTTAATTTGTGCAACTCATTAAATACAAATTAATCCTATATGAATCATAGCAGGCCTCGTTGCCAGCATTATATTCAACACGGCGACACTCCGAACGTACCAAGTACTCCCCTTCTTCTTTTACATCTATATCCCATCCGTTGCGGTGATGACCATTGTTATGATTGGACTCCTGGTACCCTTCGCTCAGATGACTAATGAGACTTCAGGTAAGGTGATGGTAGAGTGTAAGATGAGGTTGAACTTTAAGGAAATGGTAGGAAAAAGGGGTCTGCTAAAGAGGATGATTCGCTCGATCAGACCTGTCAACTTATACGCAGGACTCTTCGGATTCCGATTCTTTTACATTCAGCGTTCAACTAAAGTGAAATTTTATGCAACCATCATGATCTACACGACGAATGCGCTGGTTGGTATTCCACAGCATATTTTTCATGAAATTGACAAGAAGGTATTATACAACCATAATAGGGATTAGTATTTAATTTGTATTTATTATTTGCACAATTTTTCAATAAATTAAATTGTGCCTATGTACAGATAGGTGTTATTGGTGTTAATGATTACATATTTTATAAAATCGCAACCACAGCGTTTGAAAATTCACGTTTAATTTTGCTCTTACGCCATCTCCACCCAATCAATTCTGCTACCCAGAACAAAATTCCTGCAAACTCTGAAATACAACAAATTGCCAGGATTGGTCCCACGTGATGCATGTTCAATTTAACGGGTCCCTTCTCCCCTCGCCTCCCAATGTCCAAGTCGACACCCAACCTCTTCAGATTGTCCACGGTAAAGGACACTGTATTGTTGGGCTTCCAATTGCTCAGGAACTTGATAAATCCTCCATCCCTTCTTGCATTCAAGAAATACTGGAAAATACCCATATCTCTAAAACACGCTAGAATATGCCATACTTCTCGCTTGAACAGGTCATCAGCAATCCCAATGTACTCCGGATGTAGTAACATTTCCTTTGAGATGCGAAACTCTTTATGTGGCGCTGCTATAGCAACAACACTTTGAATTTTTTCCAAACTATCGCCATTTCCTATCAGCACATCGTTGGTGAATACCATTCTAGCAATTTGTGAACTCAGGTTGCGAACAAAACCACTAGCATCGCATCGCTGAAGATATGAGACAATTCTTCTGTACGCCCTATCGCCCGTGTGGGTGGCTTCCTTCTCCAGAACGAAATACGTCCCCCCTTCATATACACGGAAGGAACAGTTGTGTTTCTCATTTCTAACAAGAGGGAAATATGAAGAAGAATTCGTGGGAAATACGTCCCCTGAGACGAATACGGGACTGTTCGATAAGCCAAGTTCACTGTGAATAATTTAATGTAATTAAATAAGCAAGTAATTATAGTGATTATGCAATATGCATGTGGATTTCAATCATTGCAAGTCAATTAACTAACCGAAACGTTTCCGGAGCATCTACCATCGGCGGCCGAACTAGATAACTGACCAACTCTCCCCGATAAGTTTCAGAAATTATCAAACAATAAAACAACCAAGGTGATAAGGCCACCCGAAAAAAATTGTTCTTTAACGGCAACCTTTCGCGACATTGGTCCAAAACTGCACGGATTACCAATTCGAGTAACGCATATGCACTAACTTTTTTAGCACATGCTTTAACCTGATTCCCGATGGTGACACTAATGTTGAAAAAGATGGCCATTCCAACCGAGCACAGAATAGTCCATACAAAAACGGGTAAACCAATGGGTCCCAAAATCCCGTCGAAATCTAATCCCTGCAATTCGACTGGTACTAGGAATCCGGTCTCGGTATTGTGTCCTGTCGAAAATAGGTCTGACGGGGTCAATGACTTGGTCAAAGCCCCAAAAGAAAATGACGGGAATTTGTACGTGAAATTTGTCGTAGAGAAAAATCGACCAGTAACATTTAATCTAATAACGAGTTCACACACGATTAAAATATCCATGTTGTAAATCCATGGTGAGAGCCATCTCCGATTCGCACATATCGGTTTCTTACTTCTTCTTGAAGCACGGAATATATTAACGTCTTTCAATGATAATACGGCGTTGTCGAACCCCTTTAACAATCGAGCATCGTTATACTGCAATTTTTCGGTAGGAATCTTCACCCAAACTAATTTTACGCTGAATGGTTCATTATTCCATGTGATAATTATTCTGGATTTATAAGGCTTTAAGGAAAACATTTCAGCACTATGTAAACGATATAGGAATCCATTACGTGGCAGTAAATTTGCATATCTCCCGTCAAATATGTCCAAATTATTGGTCTTATTGGTTACTATGATTAGTAAAATGTCTCTGTAAATTCGAAACTCGCTACTTGTAACTAAATCTGTAAAATAATTATTTTTAGTTTCAAACGTGATGAATAATTTGGGATATCGTTGATTATTTAGTCGTTGATAGCTGTTCAGATCTGTGTATAATGGTTCTGACCTATTTGATGTTAGTCGAAAGCATGTGTTTCGACTGACCATTGAGTGGATGGAAGCTTGCACGTTTTCTAGTCTATCTGGGGAATTATGTTGACCAAATAGAGAAATCTCAATATTTTGGAGACGGGGAAAATTTCCCAGCATCATGACCAAATTGTACACATCTTTATTATTTTGGACCGGATGTACTTCATCCGCCGAGATTGACTGATTTAAAATTGGGATGCTATTCGTAAGATGTGGGAATGCTATGAAAACTATCAGAAACATTTTGTCCAAATGAATGTATTTCGACGGTGACTTGGTTCGACGGGAAATGCGCGTCGCGGAAGTGTTCACATAAGTAAATAAGTATGTATGGATTTTAAACACTTATTCAATTGGAACTGTACACATATTCATATTTATTGACGAAAACTTGCTCAACAATGCACTAGAGGGAAAGATTATAGGACACCGTAAAATTAAGTATATCAATGAAAAAACGAAACATTCCGTCATTCATCCATTTGTACACAGGTAAAAAGTAAGTACATAATGCACCTTCACGCATAAATATACATTTGCGAATATATGTTTACCGTCCAATTCATTCCATTCAGAATACAATTAAGAGTAATTTTTTTCACGTGCGGGTTAACGCTTCTTCAGGGACTCATGAAAACTTGGTAGCGTTTATTATGTATTTAAAAAAAAATACAATTGTATACTTTACACAAGGAGTGTGGTGAACATATGCACATACATACAATCCTATCCTGTTATCCTGTATAACTTATTCAATCCTTAATTTAATAAGAATGTCAATTTATGCTGGCCTGCTGAATTGAATACTTATTGAAGAAATTTCATCGGCATCAGAGGACATTTTCTTGAATACTTATTTACTGAATGATTTCGCTTTCACGTGTTACAACTTTTAATGTATAAGCATATGAAATATGTATGTCGTTGTAGGAAGTTTTAGGCTATCAATTCTATTCAAAATTATATAATCAGTTTGTGGAGAAATTCATGAAAAAAAATTGTTAAATGTAATGAGGTAGCAGTTGAAGGCATTCGTTAGAAATATCAGAAAATCTGTTATGATATGTACATACTACACAGAAAATGAACGTTGAAGAGATCCATAATTAACTCTGGTACGTGTTGCATTAGTTTATAATCGGGGAACCTTTTTCAGGGTCTCTCAATGCATTATAATACTTATACATTACCTACCGTAATACATTTAATATGTACACTAAACTAGTCTCGTTGGGATGGCTTTTAAAGATGCAGCAATCCCTGCCCAAGTCTCCTCTACTGTGTCCTGTATTTGTGACGATGGTAAAAGAAATCCCCAGAGCCCAGTGTCCCGTAATTCGAGCGTGTAGGAATATGTCACTCCTACGACCCCCGTCCACCAGTCGTCTGATCCTCCGGCTGCTAAATCTGGTTGACGCATAAATAAAAATGTTATGGATTTCAATTTCTGTGGCTAAATAAATTTATATTTTTTTAACTTACACAACATATCAGACGAACTCCCCACCTCGTATTCGGTTCCATGTACAGCTCTCAGAGCTCTCGTTCCGATCCTGGCTACACGAATCTGAATAAATCCAAATAATGTGTACATATATAATTAACTAACAAATTACTAATCAACTACTTAAATGCAAATTATTACTCATTACTCACCATTTCCCGATAATCTCTTGGCAAAACTGTATTTGTGTAACCCCACGGCGTCATCCATTTCTGCCCGTAGGAATGTAATGTGAAGTACGCTGCCCAATCAACCTCCCCCTTCATTTTCTCCACCCACTCTTTCACCGCCCTCGTTTCCGGCTCGGAAAAGGCAGCATTTCCTCTATAAGAAGATGAACATGACGACCTACTAGCGCCCTGGCCGCCCCACTCATGGCCAAAATTTCTATTCAGATCCACGCCTCTGCACGCAATTAACCAATTGCTTATACTCCTCCGAGACTTGCGCCACAACCGATTAAGTTTCCATGAGTGGCGATACCCGTCTGGGTTCAAAATCGGTGCGATGTAAAAGTCATATCGGTCTAGCAGCCCTTGTCCTGATGGAGAATCTGTGACGAGTTCCTTTATTACCCAGGTAGCTACGGAAGTGGTGACCCATTCCCGTGCGTGGATGGCTAATTAGAAAGTTGAGTGAGCATTACGGATAAAAATATTTTTTACTTATGTATTATCGAGTTCCTTTTTAATTTCATAGATAAATGCAAAATTTGTATATTTATGTACTTAAAATCAGAAATTTTTGCTACGTACTTGCGTCGATAAAGACGCCGCGTTTTTGGAATGACTTTTGGGTAGAATTGTGTTCTTTTTCTGAAGGGGGTGCTGAGATCTTCATCAAGTGCATTGGCAAACCTTCCCAACTTTCACCGATTTTTATAAGGGTAGTCGTCTCTGGGTAGAACTTGGCGAGGTTTTCCATCCACTCTGTTATCTTTAAAAGCATATAAATATCCATTATTACAGATTTTCACGAGTTGTTACGTGAGGATATAATTCTAAATTTTTATAGAAATACAAATAATATTCTAACAGTTTCGAGAGGGTGATATTCATTCCACGTTAAAAATCCCCCAGAAGACTTGACTCTTGATGGAGGATGATTATATTGGTGTTGGTCTTGTTGGTCTAGTAACTTTTTTACGTTGGGAATAATCACCTTGAGCAGAAAATTATCACCCGAGTTCGGAGATGAGGAATTTATCATCAAGTCGGACTTTCCCCTGTCAGTCGAACTTAGGATTGACATGAGGATGGATTCTTCTTCTTGTGAGGAGATCAGAATGTCGGTCCCTGTGCGTGAGGGCATCCCCCAAATGTCAAGGATACCTGAATCGTACAATTCTGCAAGCGACGACAGCACTGCTGAAGAGTTGGTCACGATTCTGTACACTCGCGAACTGAAGAAAGCAAAAACAATTTTTAATTAAGCACTGAAAAATAATTTATATATGTAAGTAAATTAAATTGGTTACTTTAAATAATCTGGAGTTTCATCAATATCCTCATCGTTAGTTGATCTGGATTCAACGTCGCCATTTGTACACTTTCCGTTTATTACACTTGTAACAATTAATATCAAAACGAATAACCTATTGATAAATAAAGCCAAGCCGTTACGTCCTGTAAGACTTTCCCTGTTTATTAATTTCGTAGCAAACGTCGAGATATGCATTGCAACAATTTACGGAAAAGAATTATGTAATTCTTGGGTTTGGGAGTGTGATTATTATTTTTGTTATGCAAATTTCATGTCCTTCACAAATTGAATTATACCCTTCTTCTCTGGTGTACTTACATTATGTGTGTCAGAAAATGGGACTGTTGCAGGTGGCAAAGAAACGGTACTTAAAACGGTCCTTCGTTCCCTTCGTCATATTAAGTATTCCATACAAACATAAGCTAAGCATGTCAACAGTTTTCTGATTCTAATAATACATACGAAAATATAAATGATTTTGATCTGTGCACATTTCTTTATTGCATGCATTAGGATGTACCATTTCAAAATGCGCAAAATGATTTTTTATGATTTACTTAATTTTTACTGGATATTTTAAATAAAACTTTTACCCATATGTACATACGTGTGCAAAATGAGTGTTAAAAGCAATTAGCTATTTACGGCACATGGTTTAAGTATCTGGCATGACGTTCATAAATGATCATTCACACAATCGGTAAGTTGTTTACACAATTGGTAAAAAATGTCCCGACATTTGGGTGTCTTGGTGGAATCTGGAATGGGTCACGGAGGGGTTAAAATCTCAGAATGTCTGGAAGGGGGAAAAATCAATGTCACTTGACAGGTCATTTCGGCTCCATGCATGATATGCTCTGTGTTATAGGAATTGCTACCTTAGTGCTACTTTTGAAGTATCATTTTAGTGAAAGTTGTGTTCGAAGGATGTGGTCAACAAAAGTAATACCATTCTCACAATGGTAAAAGTTGGCATGCAAATTGAGTATATTCACGTTCATTAGTGAATTCTTAATCGATTGATTGCAGTGAAGATTTCAAATTTCACTTGCTCGTATTGTGCACATATTTAAGCTTATAAATAAGTTTAAATAATTTTTAATTACGAAAAAATTCCATGATAAAATCATTTTATCATTTTATTATGATGACAATATATCTTTCGCGTCATCCTAATTCCTAGAAGCTTTTGTAGCGTATAAAGTCATAATTTATGTATGCACACTTGTATCGGATTCAACTAATTGTAGTATTTAATCATTTTAATGATGTACGTTTTGGATTTCTCGCTAGTTGGGTACAATGCAATAAATTATTAAAATACTAAAACATTAATTACTGTTTCCTAAACATCTGTGTCCTGTTTACAACGCCAATTAATTAACCGCACGGGACACACAATTAACCATTTTATTTCTTTTAAATATCCAACCCACTTTTTGTCTAGTGATGTACTAGATCACGACAGGTGGACGCATACGGACACCATGAACGCAGTTCCCTTAGCACCGTTTGCCCTGACGGTTAACACGCTATCATGCTTAATGTCAATGACCAGTCCCAAGTTCGACAATAATGGACGGAGAAATTATGAAGGGTAAGTTATTAAAATACAGACCAGAGGTTATTTGCTACATTTAAATGATTTGCTTTCACCAACAGCTACCAGGTTCTCTCCATCTCTAATGCATCTTCGCAAAATGGCTTGTTTGACATTCAAGGAAACGTCCTCCAGCAACTCTACAGTTCCGACAAGCTCTTTAACTTTATGGGTGAAGGTCCAAACAAAAATGGTCCCACGGATGTCATGATCTGTCCCGAGCAGGCCAATAATGTCAAGAGTTTACTTTCCGCTTACGATATTCCTTTCACCGTGAAATCTGCAAATCTGCAGCAGTAAGACACATATATTTCATAACTTAATGACAGTGAAAAAGTCTAAATTTAGACTTTTTCATTTTTCAGAAACATTGCCTCAAATGTAAACGAAAATAATAAAATACTAGCGGAATCTCAGGGGACAATGAATTGGAATGCGTATCAGAGATTTTCAACCGTACATACAGTTAAACATTGTCCAAAATGTCATAAAAACTATACACGTCATGTTTATAGATTCAAAGCTGGATGGATTCCATGGCTAGCCAATATCCACAATTTGTATCTGTCGAAACTTATGGTTCAAGTACCGAAAAACGGCCCATGAGAGTCATGAAGATATCTGCCAGTGGTAACGACGGCAGCAAGCCAATCGTGTGGCTGGATGGAGGAATTCATGGTACAAACTTTTAACAATTTGTAGGCTTTGATAGCTACGTTAGAATAGTGTAATTTACTTCTGTGTATGTCCCTGCAGCACGTGAATGGATATCCGCCGCAACAGTGACTTATCTTGCGAATGAGATAATTAATCATGCCAAAAGCGGGGATGACACCGACCTGATCAACTCTGTCGACTGGTACGTAGTTCCAAACATGAACCCTGATGGGTATGAATATACCTTCACTGCGGACCGATTATGGCGGAAAACTAGGTCCAAGACTAGTAATCGTCGTTGTTTTGGAGTTGGTATGCTAACATTTTTTTCTCAATACTTACTTATCAAATAAAATATTCAGCACTTGGTGTTCATATTTGTTTTGTCAGACCCCAACCGCAATTGGGACTGGAAATGGGGTGGCAAAGGAACATCAAATAACCCTTGCGAAGAGATTTATCGTGGTCCTCGTGCAGCATCCGAACCGGAAGTTTCGTCCTCCCAGAAATACATCTTCAGCATTAAGGACAGAATCCAGCTGTTTATATCGTTCCATAGCTACAGCCAACTGCTTTTCTATCCGTGGGCGTACGACGACGTCCCAGCTGATGATAAGGATGATTTGGAGAAAGTCGCAAACCTAGGGGCTGAGGCATTGGAGGCCGTGTATGGCACGAAATATAGGGTGGGCACTCCACCACAAATCCTTTATGCGGGTAATATATACAACCGTAAATCGTGAAATACTTCAATTTTTGAAATTTATCCAAATAAAATTGTTTGCAGCTGCTGGAGGATCCTACGACTGGGCGAAAGGCGTTGCAAACATAAAATTTTCGTTCACCTTTGAACTACGTGACACTGGAGATTATGGTTTTCTTTTACCCCCGAAACAAATCATACCCTCTGGAAAGGAAACTCTCGCCGGTGTCACAGCCATGGTACAATCCGTGATGGACTATTACAGAGATAATTGAAGCGGTACAATTTTGGCTTGTAAAATTATTCAAAACTTGATGCACTAAATAAATCAGCATTTAAAAAGCACTACAATTTTTGCGTCATTTACAAGTAATATGTAACATAAACCATGTCATTTTAATTTATGTATGCGGCGATGCATGTAAGCACGTAGTCCTCTAGGTGATCGAATTTCTAACTGTTTTTCTAAATTTCATTACATTCCAACAGAGAATCTGGTAAAGACGTGTACGATTTCCCATCAAAATCTCAACCGTAAAGATAACCATAATGATACTTCCTTCAAGTGCAGCTACCATTATAAAGACACTTGCAATATTAGTCGAAATTTTCTGCGGGTGAAACATTGTCATCCCCATGTTTACAGGGATAACGTTCAACCCTTCGACTAAATCCACCCATAGCTTGTATATTCCAGCTTCTAATAATCTCCTCAAGTCCGGCTGAATACTTGACCTCCCAAATTTTGAGAGTTTAAAAACCTTTGGGTGCTTTCCAAATTTTTTCTTACTCGTTTTGAAAAGTTTCCTAGTTTCGAATGATTTCGAGGTAAAGACGCGATCCAAGTACTGATTAATTTCGGATGACCTCATCACGAAAATAGAAGAATCACATTGACTCAGGACTTTCCGGGCGTTGTGAAACAACCCTGTGTCGACAGCCATTCCAGTGATTGTATCAAATAATAGAGAGGGTTCTTCTTGAACAATTTTTGAACCTGCATTGCAACCTCACGCAACATTTTTAACGCTTTAGAGTTTACATTTGCAATGCTATCGCTTTCATAACATTTCTTAATTTTTTCCAGTTTACTGGACTCGCACATGGTAAGGGCAGCGAATTGCCTTTCCGTAATATTGGGACCAGCGGTCTCAATTTCCTTCGAGTTATTTTGCTTACTTATAAAATATGGTATATAAACCTCTCTTATGTAAACATTACTGAGAATCGCCCTAACTTGAGTGCCGCGTGTCTCATTAAATTTACGAGAATCATGTGATGTGAAATGTCCCGCTGCGGCCGGATCTGAATAAATTACTCGAAACTTGTTGTCCATAACGTCACGAAGGGTTTGTGGCGTTTGTTGTGTTAGTGGTGCTATCAGATCGTTGACAACAATACCTTTATACCCATTGCTTAAAATTATGCAAAATATAATCCACATCGGCCACACGATTCTCAACACGCGGACTTTCAACAAGGTTTTGTCCAGATTGGGGATGACATCAATAACTGCGCAGATTAACAATGTGGCAGAATCCATTCCTGTGACAAACCATCCCAAAAAATTTGTAGGCTCGGAAATTGCTGCACGAAAAACCGCACAAAGCGACACAATCGTGATGAGAATTCCTATCGAAACCCAAACTCCTCCATCGTACGGGCGATAATATGCGTCAAAGCCAAAGTCGTTGCTCGAAAATATGGAAGAACAAGTAAGTGAGGAGAAGCTGCTCTCCGTCCAAAACAGCAAATCTTCATCATTTTTTACTAAATTTTGTTGATTATGGAGCAAGTAGCGTCCCCTTACTTGATTATACTTCTGGTCCTTAACGTAATCAAAATAGTAACGTGAAAATAGCTTTTTGGGCGTTGGAAGTATTCGAATTAAATCGTCTGTCGCCGAGTGTGGATTTAATTTTCTGTGAATACTGACAATCCATACCAAGATATGATCCTGTATGTCGTCTCTGCGTATGCGGAACCATTCCGGATGTGTGCTAAAGTGCTTCAGCGTAATTTGCCAGGGCTCCGGGAGGGACACCTTTGTATAGTACCAGTTTGCATTGATTAAATCAATTTGACTACCTTTTTCTATGACTTGCCCCCCAAGCATGGTTTTCGTATCGTTGAAAATACGAGTTAGCCTACGTGTCACGGCCGGATCGTTCAAGAACACACGGCAACACCAAAAATCGTACCTGATGGTTACGCTAGGGCCTGCATGCTTAAGTGAAAGTAGCATAAACGCTTTATAATATGCTAGAATCCTGGTGAATATTTCTAACAAATTTTGACTATCCGAATTCGAAATGTTTCTCATAACTAGTCCGATGTAAGTGCGGTGAAAGTAGTTAACCCAATTTTGGTCCGGGATGTATACAATGTTTGGACTCGTTGTGCGGGCAGCTTTCATCAGAATATTGTAATCTGGGAGATCGTTAGCAAAAAATAAAATTGCTTTACAATTTAATCCAACTTTTGTTTTACTAGTGTCCTCGATACTTGGATACGCTGCGGATCGATTTTCTCCAATGTAAGCTAGAGGTAATTGTGTTTTTTGTAAGTGAATAAGCTGCAAGGAGGATATTTCTGGAAATATGCTACTGTCAATTAAATCCACCGTATTTGTACCAACAGTAACAACAGTTATTCGACAGTTTTTGAAAAGTAGGAGACTGTCTTGCAAATTCAATGGACTTGTGACACAAAATCTGAAACATGCAGAAATTAAAATCAGTAAAATTTTGTTTGTCATACTTATTTAAATGTTTCAAACTTATAACTCAATTTTTGACAACGATAATGAACATTCAAATACGATGGTTGCTGTTGGTTTGACTTCTTTCAAGGACAATGCGTAAATAAATACCACAACAAAGGCTTTGCAATAAATATTTAAGAAGGGTGCACTAAAATATGCATTTTTAGGCCACTCTCAGCTAGTACAAACCCATGAATTATTAAACGCGACATTTAATTTTTTACTTATTCCATTAGGTATAAAAAATGCATGCATAATATTATATAAGAAGCACTCCTCACCTGCAAATTTATTGCTTTCAAAGCTCAGAGTTTGTAGTAGCTATTTATTGATTTCTCAACGTCATGGGTTTAAAAATATTTATCTATATATGTTCCATCTATAATAAAAATGCACACTGTAAAATTGGTATTATAACGTGTATGTACATACGTATGGACGAATGTTTTATATATTTTTTTACTACTGATATATCAAATCATTAAACGACGACTCCGAGTATTCTAACGAAGCTGATTGCATGAAAATAAATGTCACAAAAGTTGATGATGTATATCACGGATATCGTAAAATCACAGCTAAATATTTTAATAAAAATAATTAGTTATACGTACACATATTTAGCGTTTGGCATACTGTAATCTTAATTTTATTACTTATAATTTATAATTATCTAGATGTTGAAAATTTGAAACTAAACTTATTTATCTATGTATCACAGTTAATTATTTATGGATAATTAAAGAGATTAAAGTATTATAAGCGCATTATACTTTACTTAAATTCCAATCGCATATGAAACAACCATCAGGATGCAAGTGAATGAAAAAAGAAACTTATCGCCCAAAGCTCTGAACCCGTCCCCACTTTGGGTCACTGTACATTCTGGGACAGGATTGGACCATCTCACTCTGTCCCCATCACCGTCACTCAAACAGGTGCTGGAATTCTTCCCAACCAGCGTATAAGATTTGTCCTTATTACAATGAAAAGTAGCTACAGACCCGACAAAAAAATTGTCTGCAGAAAAATACCCATTTTTCGGATTTAACGGTTGCTCACACATTAGCACAACCTTCTCAACAAGTTCCAAAGTTTCGTTGAAACGAAACCAACCTGTTTCGTGTTATTGGCAAACGTGATGCTTCCTGTGTTCACATAGTCAAAAACACAAGCCTGATCATTGCCACATGTCTCTCGAACATTTTCAGGCAACGTGGACCAACCTGGGGTACCAAAACTTGGCAAAAACCCCTCATTTTGATAGCTGGCATGACTTTTACCTGGTCTATAGCTGAACAAACTATCAGCTTCCGTAGTCTTCCATTTCGTCCCGAAACTACGATGAATAGTTTCAGTGTTTGATGTAATTGGGAGAATGTTTCCGTCAGGATCAGTCAAATCATTTGCATTGTCCCCGTCAAAAATACCTAAAAGTCCCCTCGGATTTCCTAACCCACGAAGTTGGGCACTGGCTGAAGCCTCAATATTTATGGATACCCCATCCAAAGAAATGAAATTAAAAGTGTAGCCCAAGGAGAATGCCAGCGTCACCTGCCTTCTCCCAAGGATGGTTATGAAAACACCAAAATGAGAAATAGTGAGGGGCTCCATATCGTCGCTTAACAAGTCAATGGCGACGCTGTCTAAAAGGACCTGCATTCCTCCACCCTGAATCTGGGGGAGTAGTTGGACCTGAACTTTGACCTGACTATTTTGTGCACCCACCTGAGCCTCCCCCTTTACCAGGAATGAAAACCCCGTAAATATTGAGGCATACATGGCTTCCTGCGTCTCTGGGTTCACATACTGCTCCATCCTAGCCTGCATTCCAAACCCTGTGTCCTTAATCATCCAAAACTCACCCACCCCGTTAAATGTATATGTTAACAAGTCAAAGGTAGTAATGTGTGGATCACCAGCCCCATTTCCAGGCCTGGGTGGAACATAAGTCGTACCTGCATCGGATGGTCTTTTGGCGTAATATTTTCTACACGACTCTTCCCGATTGGCACTCCACTTGCAGCAGTAGAACCATGGGCGCACGTCATGCCATTGGTGACCAAGTATGCCCAGAATCCCGTTCGGACTGTACAAATCAGCCGTTCCCCCTCCCGGAGGCCCAATTAGGATTTGCCCCCCTTTGTAGATACACTGCTGTCCAGATTGACCAATGGGGTTCCTTTCTCGGAATGAAGCTTCCGCACCGGGATGATAAAACTCGAGCAAACTACCGGAAATAGTGTCCCGCACAAAATTGAGGTCTTGCTGGGCCTGCTCTAACAATGGGGGACAAGGTCTAATATTAGTGGGTGGACCGGGATCTAATTCATACCATGATTGACACCATGCATCAAAAGTGTTCTCTGTTTTGCCATAGTTTGTGTGGAGTAGACCAGAGTACAAATAATTGTCAAGAAGCCAATGTTGTCCCTCAAAACCTGACAATGGCTTAAGGGAGGCGACGAAAGTTTGATTTATCCCGCTTAAAACATTAACGTTGTTAACCGGTCCTTCGTAAATTCCTGAATTAGGTACAGATACGACTAGGACTCCATGGTCAACCCAGCTAGTCCCGTTAAACTGGGCGACATCCATCTCTAAAAGTGCTTCATCGGGAAAATTTTCGGGGTCCCAAGTTACCTGAACCGATCCCATCTCATGAATTGAAAAATTGAGCTTGTAATCTGGTGGTGGAATGGTGTAAATGTAACCAGACACATTTCGATGTTCGATGCTGGAATTAATTAGAATTTCATACTCTAGCTCTACCGTAACCCTTCCATTCGTATAAAGATAAGGGACGAGACACTCCGCCGTAGCTGGATCCACCACAGTTGCTGGAACCACTTGCTTCTCTCTATCATGAAAAATACAATTTACTCTGGAAGCATTTGACAAACAGGGACCCGTCAAAGTCAGCGGAACATGGCCCAATATCGATATGAAACTGGGGCTCGTTCTTAACCTGAGGGACGAAAGGTCCTCGCCTTCACACCCACCCTGTTCCACCTCGTTGTCAATTCGGAACACCCACTTTCCAGGAGAAGCAACATTACTAGTTTCTGTCACATTAATAACGTCTGCGCTGCAAGAGGTAGGAATTGTGTAGAAGGTTGACCCATCTCCATAGTCGAATCCTGCTTTTGCGGGTTGTCCTCCGAGTCCAGTGCAAGGATTTCCGTTTGAGGCGTGACCCGTTGTCCAAGTGATGTTGTTGTAATAAAATATGGCGAATGAGTGGAAGCCATCCGTGGTCAGGGCGAGTTGGAACGTGTTGCGTTTATTTTTTTCCTTCGCATCCTTCGCTTGGGTTGGAGGCCCCATAAAAGGAGACGTTGTCCCACGTTGTGACAAATATCCATCCAAGGTTGACATGAGCGAGATTTGGGAATGCGTGACCAACATCGGTTCTCGCCTTGGATAGCACGTCCCGATTTGTGGATTCACGGTAAAAGACAGACCCCCCAAAAAATCTCGTGTCGACGTCGGACCAAAAGGGGACCACCATGGGGACATCTAAAGGACCACATATCGGGGTAAATTGGCTTACACCTGAAATATGAGACAAAAAATTGTACAAAAAATTGTACTTCAAGTGCATCATTATTAATTTACATATTATGTAAATTACATAATTACACATATTTATATTATGCATATGTACCTGCTATGAAGGAAATAGCCCCGTTATTATTGACAAACAAACTTCTATGTGTAGTATTGAAGAAAGGGAAGACTGATCCAGGAGAAAAAGTAATGTTGACGAATTGATCATCATTCTCCGGAACTATATTGTCTCCATGATCCACGCCAAATGGGAAGAAGTCGGCCAGTTCTACTTTCCCATTAACCCCGATGAAAATCAGGGATAGGGTACAGACTAATAGAAACAAGTAATTTGTCTTCATTTGAAAGTCAGATACGTGTCTCTCCGTTGAGAGCGATATTAGTTTGGTTATCTGCAAGTGGGCAAAGCTCAATAGCAAATGGATGGATTTCGTTGACAATTATTGTTTTATGTATATGCACAGGTACGCTCTTATCAGTTCCAACCAAATAAGCATCCATTTCCTGTCCATAGTTCATCATTCGGTTCAATTACATGACTGTGAAATGAGATTTTTTGAAGTGTATGCACATATGTAATTGCTAATGAAACAAATTCCGTGTAAAAGCACATATGTACATACACATCCCACTAATGATAAGCCTATCGAGTTACATGGATTCTTAGTGGGCTCCATGTACCAACGGAATGTGAATCATCATATTCGCATTACTTTATAACTCATTTCTAAGAACTTCAATTCAAAATTTGTTGAGCAAAACAATAAAACGTTCGACTACGTTGTACTTAAATTCATGATCATGCTTTGCCTGACGTAAATTCATTCTGGTTATGATTCATTTTAGGTAACTAAATATCTCGGTGATCTAACTGGATGTAAAAAAATCCAATGGTGTCGGCTTTCTTTTTGACAATGCATGCGTTTCATATTTGTGTGGTCGTTCATGACACTAAATGTACAAATTCGCGTGTAATTGATGACCAAATCCAACGATTAAAATATAATTAAAAAGTTTCATATTTCAAGTTTCATATTTCATACAATCTGCTATCTGAATACTAAACCCACGCAAATCCCATCACTCGTTTCTATTTACATACTTACATCAATTCTAATATAAGTAATCTCATTATTTTCGCCATTATGATATTATTTGAAAAAATGTAAGCGTATAGACGTAAATTACGTACGTATGTCTGCTTATCGAGGGAAAGAATAAAATGAAAGAACAGGCTGCTACATATATTCCTTCCGTGAATGTACGTTTGTGCATCTTTCCCGTGGAACTGTGTTCCATTTCTAATCCTAAGATGTCTTTATTTACGAGTATGTAGTAATTTACATGCATCAGCAGATTTCTGACTCAACTATATGTCCATCTTCACAACTCCTACCTGATGAAGCTTCCGAGCATGGAATAAGATAAATACAATACTATACTTGGGTCATATGTACTCGAGTTTAAGTACCTTTACGTCGGGGGTCGCAAATTTCACTGGAAACATGTCAGTTTAAAACTGAAAATCTAATTCATGATGTTGAAAGTTGGAATGGTGTTACTTTGACGCTGACGTATATTTATTGGCTCTAGCGCCTCCTCATTATGGCGACTTATCTATATAATCCAGATGAGGTTACGCCGTCCGATCGAGAGGACAACTTATTTTGGTTTGTTTTCCATATTATTAAATATTAATTTTTACTAAGGGCATGTACATATGTACATGTGTACATATATGTATGCATATAAATGCATGCATACTATTTGTAGTATCATGAATAGTGAAAATGTGCCAAAAAACTTGTCATGAAACGAGTATGTCTTTTATTGCTGGTAAAAGCGCATAGGTAATAAATACAAAATATTTTTTTCTGACGGCTAAAACGCTAAATTAAATTTTCACTGAACTTTACTTCGTTAAAAAACAAATTATGTATCGTTGAATATCTTTGAATATCTCTAAATTTCAGCTAACGTCGTGTTTAAAAAATGTCATGCTTTCCTAGATATTTTGCTGTACAGAGTATTATTAATATAATTTTTTACGAGTTAAACGTCAATTTATTTTTAATTATCCTATTCAATTGTCTACTATGAATAATGTCAAACTATTTAAAAGTGAGCTATTTATATAAAAAATATCATTTTACTCAACTATATCAAAACTATCAAAGTCAGTAACGCAAAAATTTATTTTACAAATATTTGGTAAATGATTTTCAAAGTTGTCATGCCTTTCTGCAGATTGGCTGGCAGAAGCAAAGAATTCGGCCAAGTCTACATCCATTTTGCCGTCTCCGTTATAATCGACGCTGGTCGTTGGGTTAAAATACATTGGAAACGAATATCGTTGACGTCTACCTCTGCGCAAGAAATATTCCACCTTAATCTTCTTTGCGAAGCGTTTGTTGTACTTCACTTCTAACTGAAGACGTTCCTTCATATTTTGCACCAAGTAGTTGAGCTCCGTCCGAAAGTCTCCTTTGGTCCTAATAGCTGTGAAACATTGCAAATTTTGAAATTCATCATTAAAACTTTAAATAAATAATGGTAGCATACTCAAATAGTTCCGACTGCAATTTAGACCTTTGAACATTAGCTTGTCTTCAACTTCTTCGTGGCAGACCCCGCGTGCCAAGCGTTTTGCAGTTGTAGCTTGTTCGTCACCAACAATGCTTTTGAGCCGATTAAAATTTGCGTGGATTCTTAGCCAGTAACGGAGTTGATTGACAAAGATTCCTCCGAATACTTGTTTCACATCTACACCAAGGTCGCCACCAAATCCGGGCACATCACGAAATGGGACACTTGCAGAAATCCTATTAAATCCCCCCCGAGTTAGGGCAGTGACCCCGCATGGTTTATGACTCTTGCAGGCAAGCTTTGCAAGTAACTTGTTGGAGCCCACGCCTCCTGAAAATCGTACATAAATAGTTAGTCTATGCACGTTAATTAATATTAATATTAAGTTATTAAGATTAAAATGGTTTAAGCTAACCAGAGCATAGAATGTCAGTTTCCTCCGTGACGAAAGTGCATAACTCCTCAACGATCCCCAATCCGATTGCTAACCTGGTTTCCTCTTCACTATTGTTCTCATCGCGAGAATAAAATCTTCTTATTTGATTATGAAGCTGTCGACCCTGGTACGATCTGTCATCCGCTTCCATAAAGACGCGTCCAGCCGTGTTAATACGTGAATTGAAGCCATCGTAAATGAGCGAGGTTACAAGCTGTGTCAAGTCCAAAAAGTACTCGTCGTTGCCCACCTTCTCGATGATGATGGGATCAATTTCACACATCGCGGCGGGGAGATGTTCACGGCAAAAGGTCAAAATTGCGGATCGGATGTCGTAACTATATTTGTCCGTTAGTGAAGCGTCCGGTTTTGTAAATTTTTTATTCTTAGGAATAATGATAAGTTGAGGACACTTCAGTCTTGCGCTCCCGACATTATCGTCCCTGCTGACACCAGCTTGTTTAGCCTCCGGAGATATGGACACGATCCTATTAGTTATTAGGGTTATTTTTGTTTAATGCTACAGTTATGGATTACAAAATATTAGTAAAGTTATTAATTGGTCAATTACCTGGCCATGTTATAAATGCTTAGAGCCACAACACAAGGTTTTCCTATGGTGTATGCCCACACTTCCATTTTTTGATACACTTGCACTTCAAAGTGGTCAGCATCTATCACTGCTATTACGCGACAGGTACTCATGTTCAAAGTTGTTAGTGGTTGTTTAGTTAAAAATCAGTTTGTTTGGTGTTAGTAAGAACAAATTACTTTAAAGTTAGGATATTAGCACTGCTAATAAATAATTTTATGGAATTGATGAACTCTTAAAACTCAAGAAAAACGTTTTTGTTAAAATAGATAACAAGGCAATTCTGATATGGGAGAGATTATGATTGGGCATTATAAAGATTCAGTATACATACACACATATATTATTAATTGATGAAACCACTTTCCATTACATACTGTACATATGTATGTCCTTCGTATTTCCGTTGGTCCGTCTACATGCTATGGTTATGAAGCTATGAGTCATTCACGATAGAGCCATGCGGTTTTCGCAAATTGATATCACATCAATAAACTATAACTATGTAGATGCAAGTCTGTATCTTCATATATAGGTCAGTGTGTATGTATGTAGTATTTGATTTATTTCTGAACTTTTTCTACCCACCGATATGGTATAACTTTAATACCGGGGTACACATTACTACATATATTGCTTATTATTACCACTTTTGTAGAGTTATATATGAACACCGTTTAATGCTGGATTTCGAAGGGTGTATTTATTTAAATGTTTTAAAAACTGTTTCTTCCGGTGCAATTTTCCATGAAGTGCCTGTTGTCATGCGAAATGTGCAAATGAATGAATGCAATTTCTTGTTGCCCGGATTTTAAGTATTCGCATCCCGTGTGTAGCTCGGATTGTACCCGAATTTGTTATGTTTGTATGGATCGAGTTCTTTATACGCAAACGCGTATAAAGTTGCATTGCGGTGGTTGACAAATTAAATTATATTATTAAAAAAGAGGTTACAAATTATTGCTTCAAGTTTTTCATAACAAGATTTCAATATTTGTAGCACTACTACAGTGCGAGATCTTAAATGTTACAACATTACAAATGTAATACACATGTACAACATCTTAGCCGGAGAGGAGACGTGTGGTTTAATAATGCAACAAAAAATGCAACAGATGTGCATAAGTTCAATTCTTATGTTTATGTATTACATAAGGTGTGATATATGTATATGCCTGCGTATGCATGTAAATATGTACATATAATCATAAAGCAATGTTACGTATGTATTTCGTTGTCACATACATACGTCGTCTAAAAATGAAGCCAAGGTATTCATGTATTTGTCATTTCTGCAAGAATTTCTATTTAGCTTGCTACATATTAAACAACTCAAGGACCGACTTGTTTATTGAATGAGTACGCCTCGAGCATATTTATTCTATAGAATATGCATGTTTAAATTTTAACGATATGGTGCTCCAGATATTTGAATACCAAAAAATAGAATTATCCGAAAATTGCAGGTATTTGTTATGCTATTACAGCGTCATATATGAATTTTCAATTGTGATATTGACGTCAGGTAAAGTGTTTTGTCCACTCATTTGAAATATTTATAATCGTCTTTATAAAACCGAATGGAAAGTAAATTATGTGGTACGTAATAAAAACATCTGTAATTAAGTAAACCTGGGTTCCTTAATTATATTAATATGTAGGTATACCATCCATATAAAAGTATATAGTCCCACAGCTTTGGACGTGAAAAAAACCACTGTCGGTTAATTTCCTGCCGTGATATAAATATGTATTTATGAGAATTTAGGGTTTTTACAAGATGAGACAAATAAATAAATCCTATAGCATTACTTCGTTTCCGCTCACGATTCAATAATGTCAGCCATTAACCGAAATTAATCGACAACGAAATGATAAATTAGCTACATAACTAGCTCTGTCTGTGAATCTTCGCTATAATTTATTTCGATTAAAAGCGTAAAGTTCAAATATTACGCATTGCAAAAAACCTACGCCTCGAAAACCCAGTGCTATCAAGAAACTTCATTCTCCTTTCTGCATTCTTGAAGTTGGATCGGTCTAATCAGAAGCTCATTTTCTTATTTCTTAAGTACAATGGGTGTCGATGAGTGGTTAAGGGCTGTAAGAAGCGCCAGCAAGTATAGCGCTCTCCCATTCGCGGTGCGAGAGAATAGAATAGTCGTCACGGGAAATGTGAGACAAATCAGATTATGGAAGACGTACGTGTTCTCTTTGGCCGTTTACACTGTATTCGCTCTAGTGAAATCTTATGGTCTTTACCGTCAATTGAAGGCACAGGAAAAGCCCCAAATCTTAATGATTCTGGATTTGAATCTTTGTCTCACGTGGGGATTTGCATCTTCCATAATTTTACTTGTGCATACCATGACTTTACGAAAAATGAAGAACATTCCTGTACTGATGAATTCCTTTGCTAAATACCTCGAAACCTTTACCGGTGCTAAAAAATTAAAATAACGCGTGCATAATGGTAGTAACTAAAATATTGCATTTTAATTCCAGAACTATTTCAAAATCCACGGCATAAGAGAACAAATTACAACGGACACGTCAGGATTATGAAACAATTACAACTCTCTCCCTGGGTTCGTCATGGGCTTAGATTGCTAATGAAATATACACTAGTAGGTTCATATCTAACAGCGATAGCAATATTAATTCACCCTCAATTGGCACCATCTCCGTCCTCTGAATTCGCCCAATGTTCGAAACCATTTAGGCTTTTGACGGCGGGATTATCTGCCGGATTCTTTTATTGGATTATGCGACAAGCATTTGAGAGCTCACATTTTCTCATCCTTGGAGTTTTATACATTCCCGTGGTCTTTGGGAAGATGCATAGCCAACTAAGGTATTGTCTCAACTTGATAAAAGAATAAACATGTAATAAATGTGTACAAGATTCTGATTTTTTTTAAGTTTACGTCCCCGAATCCCTTGGACTTCTCACAAACTCAGGAAGCATCACAATATAGTGATACACATCAGATCGTTGCAAATTCTTCTAAGTATGTTCCACAATGCCAGCACCAATTACTTTATCCCGATCCAGTTTATCGTTTCGAGGTCGATAATTGGCATAATGTTCAGCATCATAAAATACAAGAGGGAAATGCATCCTCTCATAACGCTAATCATGTTTTGCGTAATGGGGATACAAAATCTATTAATTATTTCACTCCTCACAATCTTCTCCGGAGTGCAAATTTTATCCAAAAAGTGCATCTTGTCTTGGAAAGGGAGACATTGGCAGCACCAAGATAAAGGAGAAGATGAGGAATATTTTCGTAGATTCATAGCATCTTACAAACCGTGTGGGATTCGGTACGGAATGTTTTACTGTGTGAAACCAAAAACTTTGCTGATGTTTCTCATTTCCATTGCGAGGGGAACAGTAAGGATGTTAATTGCCGTAGAAAAGCATGTTAATTAATGAATAATATGTATGCGTACATGGAGCATTTAGTGGAAATTCGAAGAAAAAGTTTGACTTTATTTACTCTTTTTTTATCTGATCCTTTAGGACACAATTTGGTGTCGCATTTATTATAAAAAGGTATAGGAAGAAAGGTTAGTTAGTTGTTGAACGTAATTATAATTGAATAATATGCTTATACGGAGTATATAATAGAAATTCAAATAAAAAGTTTGACCTTATTTTCTCGAACTTTTGGGTACTATTCAACACTCATTTTCATGAGTTTGTGAAAAAATTGAAAAATATGCTCATTAATATTTACGTAGTCATGTTGTATAAGTGCGTATAAGGAGTAAATAGCTTATGCAATGATTAAATTTTGCGGCTAGAAATGATGTTCTGAAGACATGTATATGTACGTATACATAGGTATATATATACATACATATCGATGTATGTATGTAAGTATGTATGTATAGATATGTTTGTTCTTCGTTATGTAAGTATACGATGTGAATATTTCTAAATTTATATTTTAATTCCAGACTTTTCATTAACCTAGGGTTACTGTCATGTTTCCAAATATACTCATTTCTTGTTGTGCTCCACAGTTTCAATGGAAAGAAAATATATTTTTTACCAAAGACTATTTAAAGCTTAAATGCACACATACACCTCAATTTTATTAATTGTGAGTGTCATACATATATTTAATGGAACTATACATTGGTCTTGTTGATAATTGTCCGATCGAAATCCTGGTATTAGTCAACGGTAGAATTTGAGTGGGCTGAAACACAAAATATTTTGTCTGACCTTTATTCCGATAATTCTAGACTTTAGGCAATAAATCACGTGTATAACGAAATAAACGGATAAATCTGGTATTACTACAAAACTACTCTGTAGCAGTAATTTGAGCCAATTTGATAAAATTTTAATAAATCGCAGAACTGTTGACGTTTTTTGATGTCTCAGCGAAAGTACCTGTGCAGTGAAAATACAGCTTGTACCAGATAGTCATATGAAAATTTTTTAATTTCTGTTAGAGCTATACGTTCACACATTTATAGAACTAAAATCGACTTTATGTTGCTTATTTTAAAATTTTAAAATTCTCCATCTATTAAAAATGGGTGTCATTGAAATATTAAATGCTGCCCATAGTTCAGGACGTTGCGGTGCACTGCCTTTTGTTGTATACAACAATAGAATTTTTGTTACACGAAGTCAAAGACGAATGCATTTATGGTATTCGTTTATCATAACATTGATTTGCTACTTGATATTTGTTTTCGCAAAATCTTACTTTCTCTACTTAAAGGCAAGATCAGAGCAAAATCTTCCCTTATGGTTGATTATAGACTTGAGTCTCTGTTTGACTTGGGGATTAGCATCATCTATACTTTTTCTAGCACATTTGATGGTCCTACGCAACATTGATGACGTTACGATTTTAGCAAATTCATTTTTTGAATACCTGGAATTGTTTACAAGTAAGATTACGCTAATCTTAAGAGAGTTAGTCATCGCGTATGAAATAAACCATAAATGTTCCAAATTTTTTAGAGCTCTTCGGAAAAACAGGGAACAAATCGGATTTTTATCCACCACTCAAAATAATGAAGGAGTTACTATTATCCCCTCGGGTTCGACTAATGTACAAAGTTTCTTTAAAATGGATTTCGATATCAGCAACCCTAACTCCGATCATAATTCTAATTAACCCGGATATTGCCCCATCGCCCTCCTCCATGTTTACGGAGTGCCCAAGACCTATACGAATATCGACAACGGTTGCATCGGCAGCCCTGTTTTATTGGATGATGCGACAAAACGTGGAAAGCTCCCAATTCATTATTCCGATAGTTATCTATGTCCCGTGGGTGCTTGGGAAAATTCATGGACAAATGTGGTAGGCAATTACATATATTTTATGTTAATTGGTAACTTATTTTATTTTTGTGTACAAAATTGTTCGATTTTCATAGTTTGCTCCTAAAATTGTCATGGACGTCGCAACGTCTCCGAAAACTGCCTGATCTCCACATTCACGTTCGAACTTTACGAATACTGCAAAATAGATACCAAAGCATCTTTGGCAAGTACTTCCTCCCAAATCAGATCATCATATCGAGGGCCGTTATTGGAATTATATTTTGTCTCGTCAAGTATCACCAGGTCCTCCATCCCCTCCTCACTTTTGTCATGCTTGGAGTTCTGATGGTGCAGAATTCTATAATACTGGCACTCTTAATGGTGTTATCGAAAGTGCAGTTTGTCTCGAATAAATGTATCGCATCTTGGAGGCATCGACATTGGCAGAGTTTTAGCCCAGCAGAAAATGAAGCATACATGAAGCGATTTGTTAAATCATGTAAGCCAATTGGGATAAGGTTCGGGATATTTTATGTTGTAAAACCTCAGGCTATTTTAGTGTACTTAATTTCCATTGTGAGAGGAACCGTTAGACTGCTAATTGCGATAAACAATTTAAGCAAATATTGATGTCAGAAAGATATAAATACTGTCTAAATGATAGCGTATTGGTGACGGATAACGATTTTATTAACGTGCGGTGACAGGCGCTATCACCAACG